ATGCAACATGGGTGGTGTTGGAGAACGCTGACGAGCAAAGAGAAGACGAAGGGGAAAAGCAACGACGGATGCAACCCAATTTGGCTGACAGGGCGCACTGGCGATGGGGGAGCCGGCGGGAGAGCTGCAAGAAGAGCGAAGGGCCAGACCATACGTATACGGTAGAGGGCACAAAAGACGTGCAAGGCCCCTCGAGTTGCATATTGAGATCCTGTTCTCCCCATTGCCCGCCCAATCGTCGTATAATCGTCTTTCGTTCTTGAGTGATGACCGCCATATGATCCTGAGCTTTTCGGTTTTCAGCGGTGCGGGGCAGGGAGGGTACCGGATTGTCAGAAAATAACAACAAGATGAACATCTGTCCGAGTGTTTTGACACATGGGACCAAGTTTTGAGTTGGCCAGGCCAGACCAGACGGGATGATTACAGTGTCGGCCGGCAGAGGAAGAAGCGCAACTTGTTTGGGCGCGGGCAATATGCCCAAGACGAGAGAACGGGGCTGTAAGAGGGGCTACTGGGGGTCAACTCCGAACCTTCTGCAGTCTAAAAAGTGAAGTTGTGGCCCTACTCCGTATACTAGGTAAGGTAGATATGCTCGATCCCCCGGGATTGTGTTGGAACTTGTGGCCAGCAAGTTCTAGCAAGAGGGCCTTTCCAAGGTCTGACGGGTCACGACAAAACAGCGGCGCTCAGCCCTCGGCCAATAGCGCACATGATTCATATGTTCTGTAGATTGAAATGGGGTCGCGTGGGTTGGACGTCGGGCAGTCCCCAGGTCTGGAGATTGCTCTGGGTGAAAAAAGCTTGCCGTCGGTGACAGGTGGAGGGCCCGGCTCGGGAGAAGAACAGGGTGCCGTGGTGCCTGCTAGTCTATTAGGCTCTTTGAACTTTTGAAGTTTGATGGCCGGGCCGCGACAAAAGGTGGGCGTTTTCTGTTTACACTACTGCGTATTCCAGTAGATTGTATACTTTATCCATGGAGTGGTTTGGGTGGATTGCGAGGGGCTCCTGAGTGGAGTGTCAGAAGATGGCGTTCCTCGGCATCGACGATGAAATGTGACTAAGAAAAGGCGCTTGATCTTGGCACATGTAATTCGGGAATGGCATGGCACAAACCAACCGTTTTCTGGCGTGCCTGGCTGACTGTGCAAGTTGAAGTTCGATACTAAATAATGGAAATGAGGTACGGATACGCTAGGTACTGTGTGGACTCGTGGAGTATACTTGTAGATTTGTCGATGAGGCGTCACCGTTTGGGCACAGACAATGCTCTAGAAGCAGAACCAGAAGGAGAAGGAGAAGAAGGAGAAGGGGGAAGACCAGACGGGAGAAGCAATAACGGCACCGGACTTTCTCCATTCTCCTCCTTCTCCTTCTCCCTCTTTCCTCCAGTCTGTGCCCTTGGGGCCCCCCTTCCTGTAGCTTGCATTTCTGTTCCTGCTCCTTCTCTCTTCTCTTGCTCCTTCTCCTCCTCCCGGGTGCCGCTCTTCCCCGTCCCGCACATTTGCACCTGCTTGCTGCACCCTCGGCCGAAATGAGATGGTGGCCGTCGGCGTACCTTGCATGAGGTACCTGCCCAGGTGCCCAGATAGGTACCTATCCAAAGGTAACGCCTGCGAACTGTGAAAGTCTAGAGTACTTTCTCCATCGGCACGTTTTGCACTGTAATATTGGTACCTGTGTACGGAAACCTCGGCTAAATTGTCTAGACCAAAGTGGATGTCGAATCCCCTGCAATCCTGCCACCACCAACATCAAGAGGGAAGGAGCGAATGTGCTCAAAAGCACCAGGGCCAACGCCATCCCAATCCCAGCTTACGAGTGCGTAGAAAGGAACGAAGGATTACACAGCTCGCCCGTTGACAACTCTACTAAGTACCTTACGTTCATACTGAATTGGCACACTTTGGTTATCTTCATCACATGAAGCCATGCAAGTGACGGCAACAATAGCATGACCAGATTGGGTTGGCTCGTTCCATTCTTCGTCTACTGGTTGAACCTAGCATCGGCGACAATGAGTGGGTGGGAAGAAGCAATACGCGCACGTTTGTACGTAGGTAGACAGCAACGACGGACAACATCATAGACCTTTCTCACATTCTTCTCGATGCCTTCACATGCTATCAATCGCCTATTCTGGCTGCGTGAAAGTGGGCTAATGGCCGTAGATACGGAAGTTTTTCCGTATTCGAAAGGGGCGTTTCAGTAGCTCTGCTTTTGCGTGGCTCGCTACTGATACTGGAGGGATTACATTCCCAGTTGGAGATGCCGCATATCCAAATCTACGTAGCCCACAAAAATGCACCCGCGGCTACATGGTCATTCAGGATTAAGTGTGGTCTGATGGTGTTCGCTTGTCTGCTTATCTGGAGATTCAGAAAACAGTAGTATTTGCTTACATCCAACAGCAGCGCAATATATCCCATTATCGACGGTATTTATCAAATATCAGACATTCTTTGGGGTATTCGGGGCGAACAGCCGGGTACAAGTAGCCTGAAATCGATCCCAGACGTTATTGCTTCAGAGCGTCTCTCATATATGGCCAAACAATGGTTGCCAATGCTTCAATGCAACGTCGTTCCAACCAACACGTCCCGCCTCCCCCGGCCCGCCTTATGAGCGTAGGAGCGGCATCCCTGCCGCCATTCCTCGGCTTCATATCCAGTTCAGGCCCGGGCTTCAGGCGGGAGAGAGGGCTTGAGACTTGGATGAAGACGGTAGTGTCTTTCTCTAACCATTTTCCTCCGAAAAGACGCCTCGCTCTCGTCATTACGGCGGCACAACGGATCGAATCAGGCGATTTGCGGCGTCATGATCTTGTCACGGGGGTTATCCTCCACACGCGAACGCGGGGCTTTCATGCTCATTTCCAGTGACATATCCGCATCGATCAGCAAACCTCCAGTGAGTCTTCAGACGGTAGCAGAACCAACACTACGATCCGAGCATTGGCATGTCGACACCACACCACCATGCTATACTTCCGTGATCGACATATTGTCTGTGTGGAAGAGCATAGGCGGTCGGGAACCGGCTGCTAGTTCGGCAAAAGGATTCCAGATCGCAACCCACCGTTACATCGCCTACCGATCAATTTCCCCTCAGCTTCAGTTTGCCAAGGTTGCATTCAAAGTGTCTAGTTCATCATAAACGTCAGCAGTCAACTCGAAAGCTTCTTCGGTGCCTTGATAGAGACTGCGATGTGTAAATCTTCAATAAAAAGCTTTTTATGAAGCACTGGTGTTCCTTGGGTGACAAAGCGATGAGAAAAGCTGCGCGACGATGAGTTAGCGGGGCTTGCAATCGAGGCAAAGGCAAAAGCCCTGAAGGGCATGTCATTTCGCAGTTGAAAACATTTCCAACGAAATATCAATTAGATCGGGAGAATGGCGAGAATCATACAGTCACATTGACACGGCCTCAGACGTTCGGGGCCGGGCCAAGTAGCAGAGAAAAGAAGCCACAAAATTCGGCCGCTCTCGGACGCGGATGTAAGGACGGGAGCCCGGAAGACGGAAGGCCCCACTCACCCCTCTCAACCCAACGGGTGTCAGCAGCTCCGAACCCTGGGCCGTCGGAGTGACAAACACATCTCGTTATCCACGAAAGCCTCGCACTGACACAAACACTTCCTTACATACAGACCTCCCCAGTTGTCCCCCCCGCCGGACCAGACACTCGCGTCTCGTCACCCTGAATACCCCTCATTCTGCGAATTACCCCGTCTCGACTAGGTACTATTGCTATTGCTCGCCCTCTTCAATTTCAGCCTCGGCCTGCTTTGCTTTGTCTGGCTTCAACCCGCTCGTCAAGCTAGACTTAAGGCATTGCAGCATTCTGCTAACGTCTAACCCAGGCCGGACACCCGCCGTCATGCCAACCACTCTCAAGTTCACTGAGCATCGTTATGCTGCTGATAACGAGCTTCAGAAGCTAGGAGTGTGGGAATTTCCCTCACATACGGATAATGCCTCTGGATACTGGGTAATGTGGGTTATCTAGCCTCTCCTGAGATACCGTCACCCCCTTCCCAGCGTCAGTAAATCATTAACTCACTCCACTCTAGTTACGTCCACGGTGGTGCGTGGCGTGATCCCCGAAAGACTCTTCAAGACTTTGGCCCTTCTATCCAGGAAATCTTAAAGTCCAGGTCCATCCCCAGGTCTGAGATTCGCGGCTTCATCAGCATTGACTACCGTCTCTCTCCACACCCTCTCTACCCGCAAGACCCCGACGTCACTTCTCCCGCAGAACTTCGTTGTGCTCAACATCCGGATCACCTTCGCGACACCTGGTCAGCCCTTGCATTCTTACAGCGTGAATATCAAATCGGGGACCGTTATATCCTCATCGGGCACTCGGCCGGCGCTACCTTGGCCCTTCAACTGCCCATGGGATCCGTTGCGCTGGGCGCGTCCCCTTCGCCGGAGGTCAAGATGCCAACTGCGTTTATCGGCGTTTCCGGCATATACGAACTTTACAACCTCAATGCCCGCCACGAACAGACTTACACCCAATTTATTGCCGGTGCCTTTGGAGACGACCAGAATTCTTGGAACAAGGTTGTTCCGGCCACCTTTTCAGGGAGCTTCAAGGATGCTCTGCCTACCAAGCCGCTTATCTTGCTGGCCTGGTCGCCGGAAGACTCCTTGGTCGACGAGCCTGAGATCGATACTATGGCTGCGAAGCTGAAGAAGGACGGGGTGGAGTGCACCATCGTCAAGGACTTGACCCACGATCATGACTTTGTCTGGGAGGATGGCAAGCAGATTGCCCGCTTGCTGTCGGAAGCTCTCACCCTGTTGAGGAAGAACTAGATTCGAGGGCCAGGCGAAAGTTGTGCTCTTTCTACGGCCACGCCTTACATTACAGATTTATGATGGATCATCGTATTGGTCTGAAGTGCTCACAATATACCATTTCTTCATTAATATCCACTTCATATTCTATTCTATCCGTTTCGAAGTGTGACACATCGTCATTCGCGCCTCTCTCTACAACTTCGCCCCCCAAGCCTTGCCCGCCTTGGCCGTTCTCGCCGCTCCCACCGTCAGCGCACCGGCAATCATCATGACGCCGCCCCAAACCTGAGCCCCGAGATACGAGCCCCCTGACCTGTCGATGATGGCGCCCGCGATCGGCGGCCCAGCCAGCGTCGCGAAGCCAGAGATGGTGGCGACCATGCCGAACCGCGTGCCCATCTTCTGCGGATCGGTCGTCAGGCTGGCGGTCGAGCCGACGAAAACGCCCTGCGTCGCGCCGTTGGACAGGCCGTAGAAGACGCTGAAGGCGTACATGCCTGCCCTCGTCTCCACGCCGATCCAGGCGAATTCCATGCAACCCAGAAGGAACATGGTCATGACAAACATGTTGATCGGGCCGACGTGGCGGTCGGCTAGCCAGCCAACGATGGGCCGGATCGGGATGCCCATTCCGTTGGTGATGAGAAGAAGCGTTACCGACTCTGTTGTGGAGAATCCTATGACCTTGCGGGCGTATGTGTTGATCTGTTGCCTCCTTTAGCACACGAAAAGCATCACAAAACACGACTCCTGGTCAAACTTACGTAAAAGAAGCCAAAGTACAGCGCCATGAAGTAGAAGAATACTCCCAGGGTGTACAAGATGTACGGCAGCTCCCGGAAGGCCGACCACTCCAACAGAGGCCCAGCCTTTCTCGGAGGGAGTCTAGGTCTCAGCAGAGCAATAGCAATCGTCGCCACGCCGAGCGCGACGAACGCCGAGCACCGTACAGCCCAGGGGAACCCGACCTGCGGGATGAGATACTGAAGCGTCGACGGGAAGATCAAACTCCCCACTCCCGTCCCCGTCGCCGAAACAGCGAGCGCTAGGGACCGCCTCTTTTTAAAATACGACCCGATGATAGCCACGCCCGGCATGAACAGCACGCCCAGCCCCAGGCCGGTACAGATCCCCTGCGCGAGCATAATCTGCCAATACCTCGTACACAGGCTCGTCATGAATGATCCAAACACCACAAAGGCACAACCCACGGAGACGGCGTGCCGGGCGTACCCGGCGTCCGTGAGCCGGCCCGAGACGGTACAGACGGCGAACGTCAAAAAGATTTGCACGGAGCCGATCCACGAGACCTGCGAGGCGGGCAGGCGCAGGGTCTCGGTGTAGTGGAGCTGGTAGACGCCGAAAGTGGCCGGGTAGCCCCAGGCTAGGGCGTTGAGCATGTTGCCGGCCAGGACCTGGGACCAGGCCGTCCAGCCGCCTTCCGGGTAGACGAGGTCGTGCTCGGCGGACCATTCGCGGACTTGGTGTTCGTCTGCCTCCGAGGTCTCCTCTTCGTCGGTTGCGGTGGCCGTGCCGGTGGTTGTTTGGATCTCCTTCTCCTTCTCCGTGGTGGTAGGGAGTTCGGCGCTGGGGCCGCGGCTCCTCGATGAGTCTGATGTGTCGGACATGGTGATGACGCCCTTATCTTGGTCAAACGAATGTTGTGATGATGGCATGTCCATCCCGGGAAACAGACGGTTAAAAAGAAGAGACGACTATGTGGTTAAATATGTTGAGTCAGGTCCTCCATCGATCCAAGGGGGCCTGAAAAGTCTTTTTTCGTTTTGTCCTTTTTCTCAGCTGGTAATATTAGATAATAGGGATGTAAAGCGAGGAGGTCAAAAGAAGAAAAGTCGTTTCTTTCGTCACGGAGTCATAGCCCAAGCGGACGCTACTAGCAATAAGTAAAGAAAAGTGATAAAAAAATAGAAAAAATCAAGAAAAATTGCAACCCAACTATCGCGCCGAAATCGCCCTATCTTTCTCCCCGACTGCCGAAATTGAAGAACCTCCCGTCTACGGAAGCAGTTTCGCAATGCAGCCAACGGGGAATCGTTAGCAAACAATGGTAGCAAACACGGCCGGGATCTTATTTCCGGGCCTGCGGTGTGACCGCCGGGAGCGGGAGAGCGTCCCTCCCTCCTCTGCATAGCAGCGGGACTCGGCGCCCAACATGTCGGCTTGGGCGTACGCCTTTCACGCCCTATCTTATCCTACGGCCTAGGTACTACCACGGAGTGTTAGGAGTCTTCGGCGAGACGGAGTGTTCGCCGAGGGGCGATGGTGCTCCGACCGGATGCCTCGAGTGAGACTTTGACGCGGTAATATTTTCGGTAGTATGAGTCCCGGGGAAAGCCTTCCGAAGCGGAAGACCCACCCGACTGGGCAAAGTTGGAACTTGAAGAACAAAAGTTTGCTCCAGTTGATATTGCGGTTTGCTTGCTTTACAGGGCTGCAGGGCAGTACCGGGGGTATATTGGTCATGCGCATATTTCTTATTTCTCCGTCTCTCTCTCTCTCGTCTCAGCACTCTCAAGTCCCAACTATCAGGTAAAACTCCGTACCTACCCGAAATTCTCATCTGGTCCTGTCCAGAGAGGTCCTCGAAATTTCGAGAGTTGCGTGACTCGATCACTCATTATCATTGGACGTTAAAGGTAGCTTGGTGGTTCTGGGGGGGTTGTGACCACTACTCAAGCTACCTTGGCAAAAGGCCGAGTTGCATTGTAGACATTCTAGGTCCGCAATTGACCTGGCTCGACCAAACCTATCTGTCCGTACAGCCTACTACTACAATAGCGTGCTTTGCGGATAGCTCTGCCACTACGGGCTAGAAAGAAAGAAAGAGAGGCATGAGCACAGGAAGAACGAAAGCGCCTTATGAGTCTGGAGATGAAATATGATCGATCGGTCATTGGTACATATTCTAACTCAAACGTAGCACATCTTTATTCGGTACAGAGTAAGGTAAGGCAGCATGTGTACATATCAACCATTGCAATGTTCTTCGTCATGCAGAGACTTTTCGTTCCTCAATGTCCCTCGGGACTGATAAGATAATATCTTATCTTCCGCCGGCTTTCCCAAACCAACCATCGGTTTAGTGACATTGGAAAAAGCAGCGACAGCGGAGGTATCGCACGGGCCGCCTTCGGTTGCAACTTCCCAGGACCGCCCCCGCTCCAAGAAAACCCGAACGCCAACAAAAAGCTGACCCCATCGGCGCGCCGAATCGCGGATGCGGGGCGCAACCTCCCGTTCCGTTTAGTTTACCTTAAACGTGCATCCGTCCTCATCCAACCCACCGTCTTCGCCCCGTCGCATCGCATCGCATGCTAACAATGAGGATACCTTACCGAGTGGTCAAGATGCGATTTGCAAAAGAGCCCCCGATCGAAGAAGCAATAAACGCTGCAGCTAACACGTTTCTTCATCTCTCCCTTTTCTCTTTCCTTTTCTCCCGCACGATTCCCATCATTCTTTCCCGCCTTGCATTGAGGCTTTCGCTATGCTGCCTTACCTTACCGCGATGATCGATCCATACCGTTGGGCGCAGATTGATTGCGCATCACCTCACTCCATCCCAACGCGACCTCTAAACCCGCCCAGTGCCGTCCAATCCGAAGTTCCGAGAAAAGCGTGTGAAAAAGTGTCGTCACCAATCAGTCTCAAACACAACAACGCGCCGCGGATCATGACCTGATGACACCCCCCGATCCTTTTCCATCCCTGCGTCTTCTCTACCTTACCTTGTCACCTTGCGGTGTTGGTCGCTGGCCTTGTCTTTTGGTTCCAGGGGAAAAAGAAGGGGAGGCAAGCCCCCATTTGTGCTATTCTCACTCTGCCTTACCTATCCGTATCTTATCCATATGCTGGCCTGTCGCATGCACTATATGTACCGCGTTTTTTTGCCACCTGCTCCAGCTAGCTGCTCGTCTTGGTGTCGCAGCAAGATTCGCGACTGCAGGCACTACGACTAAACGTCCCATCCCCCTCCGCCGGAATAAGCACTGCCACCAGTGAAACACCCAAATCCCTCCAATCCAAGGAAGCTCGCACCTCCATGCTGCGCCTGCGCCTCTCCAAAACGTCCAAAAAACGGTAAAAGTAAGTCAGCGCATAAAAGTAAACAAACAAACAAAACAACAACAAATAACAAAAACCACCTTGAGACGCGACTTCAAGACGATTCAATTCGTTCCCTTTTTTTTTGCGCAACGCATGCGATACATATGCACACACTCTAATTCGCCTCCAACCCACAACCGCCAGCGACGCGCGCTCACCCGCCTTTAACCATTTTTCATGCAAAAGTACCAATCCCGCAACGTCCTTGGCCTCGCTATAGTCCTCGTGTCATGTAGCGCATGCATCGGCAAAAAAAAAGAAGACAAGAGACTGCTTCAACGCGATCGCAAATTTGCGCCACGCTGACTCAATCGCGTCGCCATGCACGCACTCAAACCCTGCATCGCACCATCATCCTCACGACTCTTCAACACAATTGTCGTTCACCGACGACAACATGTAGCAAAGCGAAATTCTTCACGCGCAAAACTTGACCAACCTGCATGACCGCAACATCGTTGACCATTAAGAAAAAAGAGTGCGGGGAGCTCTCGAAGAGGTGCGGGGTAAATAAGCACTCATTGCAAAACATGGAATGACGTAATTAGAGAGGTACCTCACGCTTGAAGCTTTCCCTCTCGACAGTACCTCTCCCCGTGTGGATCGCGGAAGCTCTTGCGCCCCAAGCTCAAGTACCTCTTTAGCGCGCGAGAGTGCGCACCAGCCATCTCTCCCTCCCAGTGAGAAGCCCAAGCTTCTGCTCTATCGCGCGCACGGATCGCAACTGCCGCCGCACACTGTGCGACTGTGCGCCTGTGCTTCTGCCCTTCCCCATCTGACAGGGCGGCTAACAGACGTCAGCCACACCATCCAATCCATACGCCCCCCCTCCCCGCCCGAGCCGGAACGGGATGCAACGGCGAGAACCGCACGCTAGTGCCATAAACGGACTAGCCGCGCATCCATCTTTCAACGACTTCCGTCCTGCTCTGTCCCCGCTCCGCACCGGAAGATGCAATGTCATCGCACCCGCATATTCACTTTTCACCGTTGTCGCATTCCATTAATTACATTGCGCCGCATCGCCGCAAACACCAAAGGTACATGATCAGTATGTTTTTTTTCTCCCTTTGGCTTTCGCTACAGAACCGTTGCCACTAACAAAAACAGTCGTATCGTAGCTGCATCTTCTCCTGTTGCCCGCCTCCAAATAGCATCCAGAGAGGAACTAAAGAAACAGAAGCAAGCTCGCTCACGCAGAGAAGCTTCATGTCGCTTGCGCACATATAGGAAAACACAAACCTCCAAGGCATGCGATCCACCTTCCGCCCGGACAATTTGACTATTGCGTGAGCCTCGGAACCGTTCTCGCCCGCCATTGTACCCATCCTTGCCTTTTGTTCTCCTCCGCACCTGTAGCCTCCCAATTCCATCCTCACTTTGCATTGAAACCTTGATCTTCCACATCCTAACACTGATCCATTTGCGCTGCGCACGCGCCCACAAGTATTCCAATATACTCGCTTGCTTTTCTGGCCTTCAGCCGCTCCACCACATCGTACAGTTGCACAACTTCGCCAAAACTGTAGCACCCTCGCCACAACTCGAAAGACATGTAGTAGGAAATGAAAAGGACATCGCGCGCAAGCCAGTAAATGGAATTACAAAAAGAAAAACACCGCTTCCCATTTAAAAGAGACCATAAACGCCAAAAGGAGTGTGCGCAACCGGCCTCACCCGGCGATTCTCAATGGTATTCACCAACGAGTCTCTGCCGTGTTGCCAGTGCTGTTGGATGGTCATGGTGACAAACATCCGACAATTGCGACGATGAGAGGCATGTCGTGAGACGATACCGTCCGAGCGCCTCGCCCAATTTCATTCATCTTTGTCGCCAGACGCCGGTAAGCCGGTAAACCTTTGTCGCCGCAGAAAAGTGGTCCAAAACTTTGTGACAATGAGTTGTGAAAAAGACTCGCCAACCCTCTTCTGAGTGATGCTGCGCAGGGCTGTGCTCACTCCATCAGGAGTCGGCCATTCTACCGCTTGCGCTTCTTGTTCTTGTCGGCCATCGCAGCCGTCGTGGCAATTGGCGCAGCTGGCAGGAGAATAGGCTGCGTAGGGTTGACAATGTCTTCCTTCTTAATAGGAACGCCCATGTGTCGTCCGTACCTGCCCTTGCGTCCATTGCCCTCGTCCTCGCTGATGCATTGTTCAGCATTGAGGCCGGCGTCACGGCATCGCCCACAAGGTCGCTGCCTGTCACAGCCCTTCTTGCTCTTGCGGCATCGCTGGCAGCGGGGCTTGGCAGAAAGATCAAGCTGATCGTCTTCGCCGGGCGCACCCGAGGTAGCAGCAGCAGCAGAGGCAATTGATGGCTTGCGCGAAGGAGGCAGAGAGGCCGGCGACATGGGCCCGTTGCTAGCGGGAGCGGGAGCCGAAATGGATGCCGGGGCTGAAGCCTTCTTGGGCTTAGGAATAGTAGGCCGAGGAACCTTGCTGACCTTGGTCTTGGGCTTGGAGCTGGGCAGTTGTGTCTTTGGTTTGGCATCCGGAAGGT